CCCATAGTTGTTTTGGAAAGGGCCTCCTCTACTGGCACCACCTCCTCTACAGGGACCATCCCCACTGTCTGCTCTAACTGGGTCTCAGGCTCAACAGTCACATCACTTTTATTAACAACACTGATGTTTTGATACTGGATGGTAGCAGTCTCCCAAGGTATTGTTGTAGGTCAACTTGTGGTGCTGATCTTTTGCTTGATTGGCATCGTTGATGAGGTCATTGGAGTTGTTGATGAAGTCTTGTATGGTGAAGTTTTCTGAGTAGGTCTTGAAATCTTGGACTCCTCCTTGACTGTTTTCTGTTTCTCTGAAAAAATGGAAAAGTTGGGTTACTAGGCTCTATAGTGGTATTTTAACAACTCACTTGCATGTTTGAAGAAGCAATGACTCCAGGGTCTTACAATCTCTTCCATGCCAAGAGTTTTCCCTGAACAGAAGGTCCTATTGAACAGCCTAACTTCCTGAAAATTCACAAGAAAAAGGATCAGATACATGTTTACCTTTTTATTTCCAGGAAGAACTCACCTTCAGACCCTTATACCTGATGCAGTCCAAGTCCAGGGAGTCACCAACAAAGTCCACTTGAAATTTGTGGAGAGCTGGCCTTCTGACTTCACAAATGTCCTCACAGGCAAGCCTGCCTCCCACTTCAGCACAGGAACTAGTCTCCCCATCTTGAAGAGTCACCAGGAGGGCCTAGAAAAATATTGAATGTTTTTAAAATCCATATTTCAACTATTTTTGGTGCAAAACTTACCAAAAGCAATGTAGATGTCACTCTTTGAAGAAGTCCCATTTTTGTTTGGCTGCAAGGAATTTTTGGACTCCTCGAATTGGAAACACGTTACTTCGTCACTTGTGATGGGTTGTTGGAGCCTGATGATGTCTTTGAGTGGCCCACAACTTTCCAAAACGAGCGCCGTCGGACTTTTTCGCAAATTCTCGGACTTTTTTGCGCTCGATAATAACGACGACGGAGCGCGACGGACGATGAAAGGGTCTTCTAAATGCCCTTAAAAAATCGCGAAAAATAGCCTAGACACCAAACAATATCAAGAAAAGAAGCAGGACATTAAAAATTAATACCATCAGAACTTTCACTGAGACTTACTTGAGATGTAGTCTCCACCAGAAATGAGCCTCAAATGAAGCCTGAATCCTTTTGGAATGTCTCAGGAAGGAAAGAAACAAGTATTGATACCTGTTTCTTCCCAGAGTGTGACTTTTTGCCACATTCCTGTTCCAAGATGAACCCAGTGAACTCCTGCATCTGAGATCCTCATATGGGTGCCACACAAANAGCTATGCAAACAAAGCAATGTGAAGATACTGAACTTTTTGAGGACATCTGTTTCAGATATGAATATATTACTGCAATGCAAAACTTCAATACTGCATCTTGATAATGGGGATTATAGTTTTCACCTGAGTTCTTTAATAAATTGAGAGGATAATCCTTTCGGGCGAACCCCGGCCATAAGAACAAAATCTTCTCGTTGAAAGTTTGTCTTAGAGAATTTATATTCTCTAGATTAATTGACTCTGTAGAAAAGACGTTTTCTCCAGATCAAAAGTGTCTTAAGATAAAATTCTTACGGAATTAGGACAACAAAGCTGTGAACCAAAGATTTGCTCGAATTTTGAGCAGCTGCTTTGCATTTTCTAAATGAATATGATTTATGTTCTGTGCTCAATAATTGAGATCATGGAGTTTTCATCAGCCCGAAAGGATTATCCTCTCAATTTATTAAAGAACTCGGGTGAAAACTATAATCCCCATTATCAAGATGCAGTATTGAAGTTTTGCATTGCAGTAATATATTCATATCTGAAACAGATGTCCTCAAAAAGTTCAGTATCTTCACATTGCTTTGTTTGCATAGCTTCTTTCTGCCAAATTTTTCTTCACAGCAAAAATGCCTGGCTCAAGTATTTTGAATTTTAGCTTTAGTTTCGGATTCTCGCGCATCACAGCCAGGTGGTATGCGAATGTCAATTTTACGCATTCCATAGGTTGCAAAAGTTACGAGCACTTTTAATTCAATAGGTTTCTCATAAGATTATGCAAATTTTCAGGTATCTTATTCTGAATCTTGCATATATATATATAGTACATAGGGCGAAAAAACAAATTTCTAGCATTTTGCTCCTGCATTGAAAGAATTTTTGTCAAGCATGTTTCAAAATTGTAATACTGAACAGCATTTCTCTCTCAAATTGATAAAAACTCTTACAGCACTGAAACATTGATGTTGTGTTGGGAACCCGCTGTAAGCCTCAGTTAATTAAGGCACTAATTTCAAGAAAAAGTAAATCAGGTGGAAAACCACCCATGTAGAAAAGTCCAGTAAAAACTGGCAATGCTTTTCCTCTTACCCCAAAATTTTTAGCGCCATGGCAACAAGGCATCTTTGACTTGACATTTTTGGGCCAATCAAAAGCCTTTGTCTTCATTCCTATAAGAAGAAGAAATTAATAAATACCTGAAGCTATAGAGCATCATCATTAGTCTGTCTTGAGCAGTTGTTGGAAACAGTTGTGTCCAGAAAAGGCTTTTGTTGAAGATGTATCGGTTGTGAAAATACTTTAAAATATCTCGACTTCTTCAAAAACTTTGATTGGATAAATTTGAAATACGATCTTAAATTTAATTGAGGATTTTTACCAAGAATACTTTCTCACCAAGAATCCTCTAGTTTTATTTTCTAGTTTTATTCCTTTTTCGATCCACAGTGAGTAAATTCCATCTTTGTGTTGCATCTGACTTCAGGCAGCAGCAATTGACACACGTAGGGCTTCTGCATAGAAGTTCTTACTGTTGAGAAATTGTGGACCTCGTCAGATTTTGTTGCAATACGAATGATGCCATGTGTATATAGGGACTTCTTCCATCTTCTTCTACTTTCGTCTTCCGCAAATTAAGAGTACATATATATGTATATACAGTATATATATTGGACCCTTTCATTTGCTCCGTAGCTCAGTCATCGATTCATTTAGACACGCGACGTTTCTTCCCCCGAACCCGATTTTTCACACCCGCTTTTCCTCCCCTCATGCTGCGCGAGAAGCTGAGGTAACACCCGACCGAGACGACAATTATTCACCCTAATTAACTCTTCGTCTTCCTGACACCCGAATGGAATGGGGATTTCTCGATGCATGTGCTCTTCGTCCCGGGGAAACAGGCGACAAATTCTGGAGCTCTCATCCGGCTTCCGTGCGAGAGCCGAATAGCCATCCTTAGTCAATGCTTCGATCTGGGATCGATTTGTTCGCGTCCTCCCACTTTCTGCTCCATGTAGGGATCCAGGGTGCTGCGATGGAAGCAGCACTCGTCGCCTTTATTTTATTTTTTTGTGTGTGCGTCCCCCTTTTGTGTGAACATCTGAACGCTGGGTATGATTCTTGCACATGTGTCTGCATGTTACGCGAATCGGTGCTTGGACAAAGACAAAGCTCAGAGTAAAAGAGGTTGGCTGGGATTCTGGAAAAGAACCTTTTCTACTCCGAAAATAAAAAAAAGGTTCTACTGCAGTATGAAGATGCAAATACCCGAGAAAAAAAGGAGGCAGCGTCAACTTGTGATTTTCAGAAGAAAACAAGCGTCGAAGTTTGCCAGATATAACCTTATGATTGCAATCCGAGTCTCGAAACCCCGATTTATTTACGAGTACACAATTTTTCTGCGTTTTATGATTCCAATCATTGTTTATTCCAGAATTCCATGAACTAGCTTCCTGTACTCGATCAGAAGTGAATTCGAAAGAGTATAACTATTGTGAATCGTAGGAAATTGTTCAGAAGTCAACACAAAAAATGTTCTCTAGTTCGTGCTTGAAAGCTGTTGATTTCAAGTTAGCTTCCAGAAAGCGAATGAATAACTGATTGGTATTTTCGCATTTTTTTGTTTTTGTTTTCTGTATTTACTCGAGTACCACACGTACCTTTTTACCAGAATTTAAGGCAGAAAAAAGGGCGTGGGTGGTGAGTAGAAACGGAAATCTTTGCATAAGAAGCTTTTGTTTTAAATTGTATCTTTTAATTTTGACTGCTGCCAAGAACCAGCAAATTGTACACTAAAAAATCATACTTTAGATCAAAGCATATAAAAACAAAAGACTTCATATAAAAGTCTGAGCACTTTGAAGTAGTATGTAATATACAGTATAAATACAACATACAATGTGGACATAAAGGTGAGTTATTATTAATTTGCTTGTTTTCCAAGTATAGAAAAAGTATGTAGATGGTTTCGAAACTCCTTTGAGAATTATGCAAAGGGCGAAGTTGTTTTCACAGTATCTAACTCTGTTTGTATGAATGATTAAAAATCATTAGGGATTTCAGAAGTCATTAACTTGAATCATCATTCACATCATTTGCGACCGAGACCCTATCTGCGCTCTCATTTTCTTTTCGTTTTAGAAGACAAATATTCCAATATTGTTGAGTGTTTTTTTCGTGACGTAAAATATTTGAAAAATAAATATTTTGCCGTCGGATGAAACATTTACATTACTGTATTGGTTGACGAAACATTAAAAACAGAATGCCCAGGAGGATGAATGTTGGTTTTGTTTTTGTGTGAAAATTTACGGTTTTATTTTATTTTCCGCAGGTTATCAAAACTGTATGACGATCCTGACGGTCTATTGGGTTTTCTACTTGCTCCTCACTTTGGTTCTGATTTGGGGAGCCTATGCGGTGAGATTTTTCTCTTTTTTCTCTTGTTAAAATTGTTTTTCTTGCAGTCTTTATTCGCTGATTTAATGTCCACCCCCACATCAGTATAATTGCTCCATGAAATTTATTTAAGTTTCGGCATTGGCAAAGTATTCTTTCGAGGAAAAATCACGGTTGATGAGGTCGAATTAGAATGTTTTCGTTGTTGAAAGTTACTCAACATAAGGAAGGCTGCAACAAAACGACGATAAAAATAAGTTCGCGAGAAAATGAAATTTTTATTTCCAAAAAAGTATTTCGGTCTTTCTGCGGCGAAGAACGATTGAAAGGCGACAGGTTTTTTTTCTTTTCTTCCATTTTTATACATTATTCTTATGCAGAGAAAGTTGTTGCCAGAAGTGCTTGTGACAGCAAAGATGCTGATGAATAACGTCAGCCTCAAAGAAAGCATGAGTGCATTGTTTGGCGAAGTCCTCGAAAGTTGCGGAAAATGTGCTTTCGCGTGGGTTAGACCATCAGGTTCTGTCGTACCCGAGTGGAGCGGCCTTTTCGATTATTCAAGTAAAAGTTAACTATTTGATTTGATCAGTTGTTAAACGGCCCGGAAGAAATACGTTTTTCGAATGAAGAAAAAAAATTACGGATGATTTGCATTTGAATTTGGCGCGTTGATTTCTTCACCATTGTGAAATCAGCTGACATGCTGGGCATTGCTCAACGTTTTCCATACCGGAGAAATTAAAGATTTTAAGAATCTCTTGTCAAACTTAATTTGCAACAACCTTCACGGGAGCATTTTTGTTTATTCAAACCGACAATTTATTTTAGCATTCTGTAAGAAAGCTATGGAGCCTCCTAAATAACTAGATGTACTACTATAACATTTAATTCACTATAAATATTTCAGATTAAAAGGAAAAAGTCAATTTTTGAAATAATATTGAAGTCCACGTAGAACATGAAATTTTTTTCTGCGGAATTTTTAAGCGACAACACTGGATATCAGTCGCGAAAAGGATGTTTGCAAGATTATAGGATAATTGGCATACCAAGTAATTTAAAAATTCAGCATGAAATCGATGATGTGCTAGGGTTATTTCTTCGATGAAACTTCTGGCTGAGCGATTTTCAGTGTAATTGGGGTTGCAATCAGAATATTGTCTGAAAATTGAGCCAGCGTTTTATGTGAACGACTAGATTTCACGAAAACTTTTGGAGAATTTAGGGAATACGGTATTTCATCAATACATCAATATGAATCACATTTAGCCTCGGTTTCCGCTTATTGATTCGCAGTTTAAATCCCGCAAACCAATCCTCTTGAAATACTGGTAAGTGGTAACACATCTCGTTTTGATTCCCTCGAGTCAGAGCAAGAATAAAGCCATAATAAAAACGGTATTTGCTATTTATTGCACCATAGTTACCATGGATGTCTGTGCGTACTGCAATTCCCAAGGTTATTTGCTCGTTTTCCCCTTCATCAGGTCATGAGGCTTTTTGATGAACGGGAATCGAGAATATAGACGGTGTATTGAGTTCTGCTCAGCAAATACGTCTCGGCTGTCGCCAATTATTTCCCCACACGCGTTGGCATGTGAGCAAACATCATGCAGCCCCGAACCCGACAAAGGCAGTCACGGAGGAACGACTCGGCCCGGGTCAAGGGATCGTTTATTCAATTTACGAAGACTCGGGAATGACGCTTTACATTCCTTCTTCGCATATTTACGTGTCATTCTCATTCGTGACCGAATATTGCAGTCATAGACGTTAGGTTACAATTCTCACCAGTGCGTTGACCGTAAAAAAAGGGGGGCTCTTGGGATTGAAAGGCGTCATACCGTGCAGAAAATTCGAAGGGTATGTATTGCGAAAGGGGTTGATGAGGTCATGGTCAGTCTTATACCTGGGAGGAATGTGTTTTTTGTTTGCCAATGTATTAATTCTTTGATTTCGACGTCAAATTTCACAAATAACAACAATGATGGACGCAAGCTCGAAATCGTACGACCACTGTCAGCTCATGTATCATTAATTTCACACACATAAAAATGGAAGTATCCAAGGACAAGTTTTGGCAGAACTCTAAAACTCATCCTTCCATGAATTTGGCGGCAAAAAATGTAATGCTGGCACTCTCTTTGAGCGATTAAGTTTCGAAGATAGAGGCAGAACCTGACAAACTGCCAGTTTCTTCAGAATGGCTGACTAAATTTGCAACAGTCCCCAGAAGTTCGTTGTAATGAGATTTTTCTGCAGCTCAAAGGACCAAACGCTTTTTATCAATGAAAGAAATGTTCCAGAAAGAAAGAAAAACATTTAAAAATTCCAGGAAATTTTGATGCCAAAAGGGACCAAATGTACTTAATTTTTAAAACGCATATTTTTCTTTCCTCGTCCAGGAGAATCAATGGATGTTGGCACCATGGCTTCTCGGCGAAGTTCTGCGGATCGTCATGTCCCAACTCCTGGGCCTGACGGCGATCCTCAAAGTCGACAACTGGGCAGACATGTTGCAAAATGCCACTTGGTCCCTGCCTGAAAATTCGACCTTGTTAGCCGCCTCAGACAATTTGTACTTGCACATCAACGTACCCGGGATCCTGGCTTTACTTGGAGTACTCGTCTCCTTCTACTTCATCTTGATCGTTTACTCATTTTTTGAGGAATTGCGCGCGAAGGCGAATGCCGTCGTGCCGATCCCGAAAGCCCCCGCCAAACCGGATGCTTGAGATTTTAATGTACACCATTTTAACATTCAATATACAATATAACAATCAATGTACAGTACTTCAATTGAAGCGTCATACTTCTCGAGAGTCTGCTCATCAGAGGCTCGCGACAATTATTTGAATTTATATTCAATGATTGATTCGGTTGACAGAGGACTTTGATTTCTCTTCTTGCATGTATGCCAATTTGCTTCGCAAACCCTTTGAGTTTACAGTATAGAGTAATCATGAATTCACCAGAAAATTATCGAATATTTCCGTAACGTAAAGTGTTTCTCCACGACTGCTGACGGATATTCTTTTCGCGTGAATTAATCATTTTAAAATTTTTCTCGAGATGTTCAACAAGAGATGAAAAAATGTATTGCACTCAGTGCTATTATTTTACAGAATAATGAGGAATACATTTTACATGGTATATTTTTACGCCAATATCATTCAAACAATCTGACATCCAAACAAAAATCAAGTCCACTTGGAACCCAGTCAACTGTTTAAAATTTTCAATAACCCATAGTTTCACTTGGGCATTTTTCGTTTTTATAGCGAGAAGATATGATTTTAAGGAGCAAAAATTCGTACAGCAAAATTTTCTGCGCCACAGTTCACCAACACAGGTAATGTGCGTGAAATTGTTTTATCAAGGATTTTTAGACAGAATTTTCGGGAGAAGGATACGGAGTTTTTCGCATTCGCTTCTAATTTTAAAAAGCTAAAGGCGATTGTATCACTCTGTATATAGGAAATCAGAAATTTTGCATTAGCTCATGTGTGGCAGGAACTTGCTCAAGAAACATTTCCTGAATTCATGCACGGACGAAATGTGTGCGAAATATTTTTCTCAACAATTCTGATTGCACGATTGGCATTGATGGAATAAAGCAGACGACGTCTTAACGATTACTGAAGGCTAATTTCTTCAACTCGATGGCCATACAATTGGAATAATAATTCCACGGTATTCCACGGCGGTAACATTTCCTCGCTTTATTCTTGATTTAGAATTGATGCTTGTCGTCAGCATTCATACAATTTTGTGCAATCAAACCATTAGAAATTGGACTGTGTACGAAATTCGGCAATTGAGCATTTTCTCCCGTTCATTCGGAGTTCTGTTCACTACACAAATAGTGCCAAGCTTTGCTTTCTGGAATATGACCTAGGTGTCGCCTGAAGCATTACATCGTTGAAAAGAAAGCGCGTGAACTACAGTATATTGATAAAGCATATATACCAGGAAAGTCAAGAGAATTCTTAATCAAAAGGAAGACAAAATTTAAGGTTTTCCTCGGGCGAAAGATATTTCAAAATTTTCTGTGGCGCTTATTTTCTTCATGGACGTAAACGATATAAATGTCTAGCCTTTATTATACAGTACATAACTCAAGTATTTTACACCGGAACAACTAAATGCGAAATTCGAAAGGACTCCAAAAATGCGACTTATTCTAGAAAGCTTTTGAGTCAGACACTTTGGCATCATTTGGGTTGCTTAATCGATGGGAATTACTTTCTGGTGAAATCATTAGTCAAAAATATAGTCGTATAGATGTTCTGCATGAGGAAGATCTTCAATCCCTTGTGGGAAGCATGGAGAACATATTTTTTACTTTTTTTTTGTACTGGCGTTCTTCAATTTAGCCCCAAATTAATGCCAGAAAGGTTATGAAAATTTAACAAAGGGAGATTATACTCAGGCAAGGTAACCTAATCCAGTCTAAAACAAAATATAACCTCAATCAGACCAAGGGTGTAAGATTCAAGTGACATCTAGACTTGACAACATCGTTAATTCTTGACTTCAGGGGATTGCCCGTCATAATAGCGGAAAAATAAAAATTTCATTAATTGGCAAAGAATTACTGAGTATGAATGAGACAACCACGTGGTTTCAGAACCTCAAAGATATTTTGTCTGAGTGCCACTATGTCACAGTACTGAACTGACCTATGCGCATATTTTACGCAGATTTTCCTTCATGTGTTGAATGATCATTTCTCCTTGAACTTTCTCCTCATGGCTGACAGGAGAAAAAAATTGACGGGATTCAGAGTTCTAGACATTTTAGTAACGAATTCCGTCTCTGGTTCGATCGGGAGCTAAAGTGGCTCATATATCGAATCTTTAGTGCCGCCCAGAATCCGGTAGACGCACATGAAACAAGCAGCTCCGCAGCAGTGGACACGCAGCATGTGTGAGGGCAGTTCAATTTATTTGTTTTTTTCTCTTCTTTTTTTGTTTGTTTGTTTGGTATTTACTGCCCCGGGGGTTTGATCCAATTTGCAGCGGCCGAGACTTCCGGGCTTCCGGACGGAGACGTTATTGCGATCCGCGGAATCCCGTCAACGGGGCGGCGGGTTGTCCCCCTTCTCGCTTCCGGGTCATTTGTCGCTCCAAATGTAACGCATTTACGCCGTGGCTTCTATGATGGGTAGCCATAGGCCGGAAACTTAGAGGGTGGGCAGGCAGAAAAAAAAGGAGCACAGAAAAATTGGCAAGAAAAATACACGAACCCCCCTCCTCCCTCCACGGGGGTATTCAAAACGCTGGCAGATAATTCAGTCAAAAAACTTTATAAAACTACTGCGAGGCCCCCTGACTCATCAGACTGTGCCCAGATTTTCGAATGTCCGCATTTTGTATTAAATTTCCCCATTGGCTTTAGTGGGAAATTATTTATTTATTTCTCATGTTTTATCGTCGCAATAATGGAAAAGACCATAAAACAATTAATAAATCATGTTTTTCTCAACTCGAAGATTCTGAAAATGACTGTGCTGAAGAAACTCAAACAGAATCTGACTACCCCTTTTAAAATTGTTACGTAAAATGAGCGTGTGCTGATGGTACTGCTTTCATTCCTTTGATGCAGCTCATGATCTACAGTATTTTCCAAAATCTGGAAAAGCTGTATTTTTGTAGAAGTATCAGGAACCGATTGTGTATCTATGGACTACAGAATATTTTCTTTACATTTAAAAAATGTTTTTCCAGCCTGTTCCCTCTCAGAATCGTGGAATGTACGATACCGTACTCTAGTATGGAGTATGGTAAAATTAATATAGTTATTCAGATTTCCAAGCAATATAACCCAAAAAAATTGTTTCGATCTTCGGAAAGAAAACACAGCATTTTTTCACGCCAGTATTTCAGTGTAGTTCTTGTGGCACTGCGTTCAATAGGAGGCCAAAAATTCGACAACTTCATCGTTTATGCATTGTGACTGATGAAGTGTTGCCAAGATGTACTGTACTGTATATCAATAAAACATATACTGTATGATGTTTAAACAATTAGGGCTACGGAGTAAAGACGGACACTTTTTAGAGGGTTTTACGTGAGCTTTGCACGATATTTCTTAGTGAAAGTCATATCCGATTAATCTGTCGTTGAAGATGGCTTTATTCTTGTGCACTGCAAATGGATACACACCATTACACAAGAGAACATTATCTGCGATAAATGCTCGAGTTTTTTTTTACTGGTCTACGGTTAGTATCAAAATAATGCCTTTGTATACCTAGAGAATTCGCGAACGCGTTTCGCCGATTTTTGCGGAAAATTCCGCAGATTTGTTCTCCTGATTGCTACTTCACTCATTGAATGAAAAAAAATATATATTGCCATCGAAAACAGCAACGGATGATTGGGGCAATTCTTCATCGAATTTAAATTAAACAAAGGCGAACGTCATCCCCCAACTCGCCGAAGTAATTCAGGAAAGGAAGACTTCCGGAGGGCAAGGGTATAGAAAACAGTGCCGAGATGATCGCATGTCGCTGCAGCAGAACGGCGAGACCGAGTTGGCAAAAAATTTATCGTTTCCTCAACCCGTGGATATAAAATATAAATCAAAATAGAACAAAGCCGGGCCCTGGTTTCCGAGAAGGGTCCCATCTTCTTATTTTTCAGGAGCAATGGCAGTTATCCACCCGGTGGGGTTGGGGAAGGGTCGCGGGGAAATTGTTGCCAGCAAATGCCGTCGTTCAGTTCTGATGGAGAAATCGTCCCTTGGGGACCAGCAGCAGCACATTGTGATGGTGACTCACCCAAAGTTTTCTGGCGATTAATTATTGCCAGCTCTACAAAATGTAGCTGTCAATACATGCAATGGAATAAACAACTACTGTCAGATTTTCAATTTGGTGTCAAAATATAGAACAATCAAGACATCTCCTGAGTTCTTATATTTAATACTTTATGGTCGTATCGTATTTATCCTAGGTCTGACATTAGAGAGGAGATTAAATCAGTAATGACTCCGCAAGATTCTATAAAAGAAAGTAAATGTTTATTCGGTATTCCTCAAGAACAGGCAACAATTACACCAACGTCTTTGAACAATGTCCAGAGAGCAATGGGTGTGCATACAACAAAGAATATGTACCTTTATGGACGTTGCAGTATGCAGGTCAGACCCAGATCTGACCTGGTTTTGGGCCAAGTTAAGTAACTTGGCAGTGTGTGACTATAGGTGCAACAGCATGTCATTGGAAACGTGAAAGTACAATACTGCCTTGTGTGTTGCCTGTTAATGAGAAGGATTGAGAGAAACTATTTGATGACACAATTGTGCATTAATTTTAATACATGAAAAATACTGTAAAATTTGCAAATTAACATGCGAACATTAAAAAAATAGAGTGCATGTATTTTCAAAGTGAAATTCCAGTGGAAAAGCACGCATAAAAAGAAAATGCAGTAATGCTAAACGCAATTAAAACAAGAATTTCTTTGATCCCTTGAAAAATGAGGCTGGTTACAAGGGATGCCTAAAACATTTCCTGGGACCGTGACACATTTTTAAAGGCTAAATTTTCATGAAGTCTTTTCTCCGAAAAAAGGCTCAAAATTTGATTCTACGTTTTCTGAAGAAAAAGAAAAATCTGCAATGCGTCTGTCATCCGGGGATGTACAACCAATATCTTTATGAATTACATTTTAGAATCATTGCGTTCTTTTCTAAAATACTAAGCTGGCAGGTGAGACTTATTCTGGGTTCCATGCCAGCAGTCTGCGGTTCCAAAAATATTAGAAAAGAAAGGACATATAGCTTACAATTTCCAATATATTTTGGAAAGCCTCGAGAATTCCGTTTTCAAAAAACTAGGACGATCTTCTGCGGATAAGAGATACAGCAGTACAGTATCTCCAAAGTGCCTATAGTCCAAGTTGCCTAATCATGAACTATTCTTTGGCAAAATGCATACTGTATTTGAATAAAATGCGAAAGAAAAAAAATCCGAGCTCTTCTTCCATAAATTCCGCGTGCTTCAAGCCTTGAGAAAATAATTACACACTAATCAGTTGGTCAAGTTTTCTCTCTCTCTGTTGCACGCAAAGTGGAGTTGACTGATTTCGGTTTGCACTTTTCAATATGATAAGATGAGACCAATGCGTGCAAATACTGTATTTAAGATATTGTTGTGATCACGTCGAAGAATTTCAATAATAAATACTTGAAGCAGGGAAATTAGTAATTCGTAGAAAATTTATTTGCACCATGTTTGCATGTCTTGGGCGTGTTTGAAGCGATATTTCGAATAAAATATATTTTTCCTTATAGTTTTATGTTGGTTTCTCTTTCTGCTCATTCTGGATAAAGCCGGGTAACATTTTAAATGAAGAAGAGCGGGTTTGATTGCGAGTTCCACGTACGCCTATAAAATAATACTACCCTCGTGTTTCTACGGCATACATGCTACAGAAGGAGGAACAGATCCTCCGGGGGGATCAATTTTGGCGACTTTGGATCTCAGATCCTCTCAAGTCGGGGGACCGCGGAATATTGCCTTGATTGCCGGTCTGTCAGCCGCAGTGGGACAATGTATTGCGGACGATGGAGCGGGATGGAAAGAGACTTTTGCACGATGCTGGCAAAACCCCCCTGAGATATGGTATTC